AATATTCTTTTTAAAATAATATCTTTTCTTTTTTATTGGATGCAGTGTCTTTACTTACTATTCTGAGACTTTAGTGATGGCTTTGTTTAAAGTTCCTCATGCAAAATCTCCATTTCCTCTACGGTGAATTTTTATTTATTTGTTTCTTTGGAATTTTTAAAATTAATGTTTAGTTGATTTACAGTGTTTCAGGTGTACAACAAAGTGATTCAGTCATATATATGTATATGTGTGTGTGTATATATATATTCTTTTTTCAGTTTCTTTTCCACTATAGGTTATTACAGATATTGAGTATAGTTCCCTGTGCTATACAGTAGGTCCTTGTTGGTTATCTATTTTATATCTAGTAGTGTGTTTCTGTTAATCCCAAACTCCTGATTTATCCCTCCCCCCTTCCCCTTCAGTAACCATAAATTTGTCTTCAGTGTCTTTGAGTCTATTTCTGTTCTGTAAATAAGTTCGTCGTATCATTTTTTAAAGATTCCGCATATAAGTGCTATCATATGGTATTTGTCTTTCTCTGACTTACTTTCCTTAGTAATGATCATGCCTAGGAGCATCTGTGTTGCTGCAAATGACGTTACTTCATTCTTTCTTATGGCTGAGTAATATTCCATTGTCTATATAGACCACATCTTCTTTATCCATTCATCTGTTGATGGACATTTAGGTTGCTCTGTTTGTTTTATTTGCACCTTCCAGGTAGGATGCTCCCCTCAGATTCTGGTGATGCCTGGCAGTGGCTCATGATTGGTGTGGAAGATTAGCTACACATGATCGGTGTGATCGCATTGAGTGACGCTCTCATCTTCTGAATTACTGCTGTAGACATCCAGCCGACCTCCTTAGTGATCGTCCTTTACCTTGTTCACTCTTTAGGGTGTGTAGATCTTATTACAACTCTTACTTGGGAAAGAGGACCAACCAGGGCTCTGGTTGGATTGGCTAGCAGGCTGAATGGAGCCAGCACGGTGTTATTTGATTTTATCTTAAAGAAAAAATAACTTTTCAGCACAGTGATTTTGAGTCAATTGAATGTGAGTGCCTTTGAAGTCACAGTCTCTCCAGCTGTGTCACTCGATTCTCCAACCGGAAGAGAAACACAAGGAGGGTGAGAAGCTCCCTGTAAGGGGCTCCCTGTCCAGATGGGAGGTGGACATGCACACACACCATTGTTGACGTGCTTTCTGTGGCTGGAGGAGGTGTTTACGACAAGTCAGGGCACAATTTACTTTGCCTGGGGAGTCAAGAAAGGTTTCACAGAGATGAAATCAGAAGATACATAAAATAAGTACCTACACGTAAACTGGATTGAAATGGACATTTCTTGCCCAAAAGCCCTGTCTTCAGCCCTCCTGTCTTAGGGTTTGCTTCACTTGTCCTGTTTAGTGACTGCTTTGACTCAGTAATTTTCATAAGTGAACTGATTTTAACATTCTTGGGGGCATAAATTAAATACAAAATATCTAACTTGGACCCGTGTATTTCATTTGCAGACCCTGGGTGGGTCTAAATCTACTTTGCAGGCTTTCATTGTTAATCTTGAATTGTTTTAAACAAGTGAAATATTTAAGACATTTGTGTGGGACAACACTGTAGCAAATTGTGTTTGTTTGATCCCGTATTAGGACTCAGTCATGCTAGCTCTTTTTCTCTGTTTTGTTTGATGAAAACAAATCAGTTTCGTTTTGGAGTAAGTACATGGCATTTCCACTAGAGGGAGGAGAAGTGCTAATTTTAAACATTGAGGGAGGAGCTGTTCTTTTTGCCGAGATAATCACTCCCTTCATTACACACAAACTGTGCTTGGATAAACAACGGTGGTTCCTTTCTTTTTTTTCCCTTTCATTTTTATTTAAATGTATGCTCTAATGGGAGAACAAAGGACAAACCGTGGAACATTTCTAGGTCAAAGTAGCAAGTATTGAAAAGTGGCTAATTTCTTGCTTCAAGAATTCTAAACACAGCCCTGGGGTCAGAAACATTTTCAAAAGAAGACCTTAGTGATCAGAGAACTCCATCTCTTTCTTTAATAGCTCTGGAAAATGAGGCCCAGAGACCTGCCCTGCCCAGGTTGGAGAATTTGCTAGTAGCAGATGCAAAAATAGAAATGTTGCCCAGTTCTTTTTCTTGTGCTCTTTATAATGCAATAGATTTGGTCAGCATATCTGATGCCATAAATATTATAGACACATACCTACATATATGTTTTTGTACATGTATATGTATGCATCTATTTTCCTCCCTCTGATGTTTACGATTTGAGATCTGGCATTAAGAAATATTCTGGGGCTTTTATGTGTCCTTGTTTACTTGCTCTTAAAACCGCCCCACCCCAACTCCCCTCCTTGTATTACTCTAGATGCAAAAAGCATTGCTTATGTAGGGTATGGCTAATGGATTCAGCATGGTCCAAGAGCTGGTAATTACTGACCAATCACCAAAATACCATGGTTTAAAAAACACACTATAAACTTTCCTGTGAAGTCTCCAAAAGTTTTATTAACATGCATGACATTAGTGGCTGTACTTATTTTGCCATAATTGAGGGTGTGTCCCGTTTCTCTAGAATAATAAGGCATTTGAGGGAGTTCTCATATTTCACTTCTGGCTGAACCCGGTCTGTAAGCTCTTACAAACAATGCATTTTGTGCTCATCTTTGAGGTAGGAAAGAATATTTTCTGAGTTTTAACTGAAAAAACAACCATACGCACACACCCAAATTTTCTATTCTGAAGTTTTTTTAAAAAAAAAACAAAGCGAGGCCATTAACTAATGAGTGCTTTTTGAAGCCATAAAAGATTTTTCAACATTTTCTCTAGTCAGAACTTTCAGTAAGGAGTTTTCCCCTTACCCCTGAATAGTCTGACTAGCAGTTCTGGTCTATTTCTACCCGAGGAGAGCTTCATTAAAAGTGAGTGTTAGGCTTAGTGTTGGGGAATGTGGAGATGCATGTATAAAAACTGTGATCATTCTTTTTTTTCCCTTCCATTTTTATTGAGATATAATTGACACACAGCGCTGTATATGTTTAAAGTATACAGCATAATGATTTGACTTGATACCTCATGAAATGATGATCACAAGAAGTTTAGTGAATATCCATTATCTCTCTCTTTTTTTTAAATTAATTTATTTATTATTTATGTTTTGGCTGCATTGGGTTTTCATTGCTGTGCGTGGGCTTTTCTCTAGTTGTGGCGAGCGGGGGCTACTCTTCTTTGTGGTGCACGGGCTTCTCATTGCGGTGGCTTCTCTTGTTGTGGAGCACGGGCTCTTGTTGAGGAGCACAGGCTCTTGTTGCGGAGCATGGGCTCTAGGTGCGCAGACTTCAGTAGTTGTGGCACGCGGGCTGTAGAGTGCAGGCTCAGTAGTTGTGACGCACGGGCTTAGTTGCTCTGCAGCAAGTGAGATCTTCCCGGACCAGGGCTCGAACCCGTGTCCCCTGCATCGGCAGGCGGATTCTTAACCACTGCGCCACCAGGGAAGTCCCATCCATCATCTCTTATAGATATAAAATTAAATAAATAGAAAAATGTTTTTCCTTGTGATGAGAGCTCCTAGGATTTGCTCTCTGGACAACTTTCATTTATAATGTACGGAAGTGTTAATTATATTTATCGTGTTGTACGTCACATCCCTAGTACTTACGTATCTTACAGCTGGGAGTTTGCACCTTTTTACCACTTTTATCCTATTCCCCTCCCCCCTCCTCTGCCTCTGGTAACCACAAATCTGATGGTGGCCACTCTTTTAATGAAAATATGTATCATCTTCCACTTTTTTTGTGCATAAATATAAGTGAAGTAATGAGTGAAAGCACTTCTGGCTGTAAGCGGACGTAGGTGTCATTCCCAACTGGGTGGATCTGTGACCGTGCGTAAGTTACTCTCTCTCTTTGCAAACCAAAACCATCAGGCTGGAAGAGGACCAAGGGCCCTCCACTTCCATTGGCCATAGTTTCATAATTGCATCATGAATGGAATTCACCTATGACCCTAAATCCCTTATAATTTTTAACAAGATTGTAGCACAGGGTTTGTTGTTTTTATACCATTTTGTTACTGTTTTAATAACTTGGGAAAGCCTGGTGTTGGTATGTAATGTGTTACATTGTGTGTTGGTTCCCACAAAACGTCTAGGTAAATTAGCCTTCTGTAAAAAATTACCTTTAAATTCCTTAGGGGAGTCTAGTGTGACTTACAGTGTGACTAAGGAGGATGCAGCTGTCACTCCCGCTCAGTGGAACCTCTGTTTTCCTCCTAAGAACTGCGGCGGTAACCTCGACCCTGGTGTTTCTGCTGACACTCTGCTGTCCCCTATAGCCTGCTCTTTGTGCAGCATCCAGTGTGATCCTTAAAAGTCACCTTGTTCATCACACTCAGGGGTCTTCCTTTAAGTCTCCTTTTGGTATTTCTCCTAAAAGGCCTTCCACATTACTTGATCTGAAATACCTTTCATCATCCTCTTCCACTTAGCGCTAACTCATGACTACCTGTGTCTCTCCATGTCTGTGTCTGTGCCTGTGTGTTTGTCTACAATTATCACATTTATATCCATACCCATAATTATATATCTGTACTCATAACCATATCTCTATCTATGTCCACACCCATACTTATAGCTATATCTCTGTGTATAGTATGTGCGTGTTTACCTGTACTTTTGCACTAGAATGTGCCCTCTATGAAGGCAGAGGCTTTCTTTTTCTCATTGCTTTAATCCCAGTGCCTAGGACAGTGCCTGGCATATAATAGATGCAAAGTAAGTATTTGTCAAAGCGAGGAACAAATATCCCGCTTGTCAGGATTTGGGTTTTGGCTTTTATTAGCTCTGTGGGCAAGTTACTTAACTTCAGTGTGACTTTATTTTCTCATTTCTCCATCAGGGACGTCATCATTTCCCTCAGAGATCTGATGTGAGAATGAAATGAGATGATACAAGGAAGAGGAGCTGCTGGTCCTGGCCCAGAAAAGGCACCACGTTAAGGTTAATTCCCTACTTCCTTCTTCTGTCTTGCTGAGCACATTCTGACTTTCACAAATCTGTGGGCTCAAAGGGAAGCACACCTATTAGTATTCACTGCTGAGTCATTTCCAGAGCTGGCAAACTGAGCCTTTCCAGCTCTGGAAGATTATAAACATAAACACTCTTTTCCACAGGAGAGACTGCCAAAACACAGAGCTGATTTGCCCACGAATTTAAGCATGGCAGTGGTAAATATATATATGTGTATAAAGTCAATAACAATGGCAGCTTATTATTTAATTTTATTAACAGACAAAAATTGAGAGTTAAGAGCTATACTTTTGCTATCTAGGTGACATGAGCTTAAGCATTTACCCCATCGCCCAGCACAAGAGATCATGTTTCAAAAATGAAAAACTTTCAGGAAGGCCTCTTTCCATTTGTATTTAAAAACCAAATGTTTCCAACAGAGAATTATCTCCCTTAGAAAGAGAAACCACTTTAGTCAATAAAAATATTAACCCTAAACATCTGCTAAGAGTCTCACATGCATTATTGCACATATTGTTCACATTAAATCTATGAACCATAATACTGTTATAAACTTATATCTATTTTGAAGTGATTTAACCAGCCCGAGGTCACAGGGCTAGTTAATGGTGGAGCCAGGAATCATGCTATGTTTGCCTGACCCTGGAACCAGCGAGGGCCCCTAAGCACTGTACTTGAAGGCCTCAGGTGACAGCAAAGCCAGTCCCAGTGACCGTTCAATCTAAATATATAATTAAATCAAAACCAAAGATGAAAACTGAAAAACAAATATACCCAGATTTGTACAGCTTTGTATTTGTATAGCTCTTTGTTAGTTACAAATGGTCCCTTTATAAGTTGTCTCAGTCCATCCTATGTAGGAGTGGGTGAGACTTTATATCACTTTATAGATGAAGGAGGAGAGGTTATACGACTTCACTGAATGCCCCCAGGTAATAACGAATAGAGCCTGGACTCCACCTTCTGACTGTAGATCCTTGTTCTGTCCCCTGCTCTCCTTGACTTTCTAGGAGAAAACCTCCTCTTCTATACTTAGAGACTTGTTACCCATTGACAGAGTATCTTCTAAGTGTCAATTACTCTGGTAGCTGTTGTGAGCACAGGGGTCTTAGATAAACACAGACACTATCCCTCCTCTCTGGAGGTCAGAGACACAGATAAAAAACAAATAAATACATACGACGTTAGTGCCCTGGTGGTGTTCGTGCCACAGACGAAATTAAAATATGTGCAGTAGATAGGGAGAGTCAGGCTGGGGAGAGGGTTGAGGTTTTAACTTGGGTGGTGTGAGGAGATTGCTCTGCTAAAGAGATACTTGAATACCTGGAAGAAGTGAGAAGTTCCAGCCGTGCGCTTATCAGGAGTGACTGCACGTGCCAAGGCCCTGAGGTGATAGGAGGATTCTTGACGTGTATGAGGAATAAGAAGGAGGCCATGGGAGCTGCATCAACCAGGCAGCGGATGAGTCTACAACTCTGAGGGTTGTGTCTTCCACCGTGGAGGGCAAGGACCGGCAAGTTCAGCAAATCCGAGGCTTTGGTGCTGACAGACAGGCACGTGGAGGGAACCGCCCTCGGCAGGTAGAGAAGGGGCCCTGAAGGAGCGGGAACTCAAAAGTGATTCAGGCACAGATTATGTTCAGCCTCTCCTTAAAGGAGTGAACTGTGTATCGTAAATGTGATGAGCATTCCCTGAGGACGGTGAAGCCCGACTGGATGAGCACCAGTTACAAGCATTTGAGGAAAAGCCCTCAGCAGGAAATGGCCGTCTCTCTCCACAGACTGAAACCTTCCTGGCAGAGACCACGCGTTTTTATCCTATTTCCCAGAAGAGCTCGGCTGCTCTGGGTCCGCGTATATGAATTATCTAGAGTGAAGTCAGATGGGGCAAAGTCATGCGAGTCTTTTTAATTAATAGGATTCCTAAGTTCTCATTGGAAGGCAGCCCTATGCATCCCATTTTTTCCCTATTTGACATTTATGTAGCCCTCTTTACCATGTAAAATATCTTATCCCTTTGTATTGTCACAGCAAAACTGTGAAGTAGGGGAGTACGAGCGATATCGTCTTTCTCTCTTTCCCTCCCTCCCTTGAGGAAATGGAAAGTGAAATGGTATTTGATATGATGGGAAGTGCTGGAACTCCAGAGACCTCAGTGGCTTCCTCTGTGTGGCCTGGTCAGACCCCGCCAGAAGGGGACACGGTGGCAGGTCAGGCTGTGACAGTGTGGGGCGGGACAACGGGGGCCCTTCCGGAATCTGCAGGCCCTCTGTGCGGCCCTGTTGGCTCCCAGGCCACGTGGGTGGTGGACGGAGCATCTGGAGACCAGGGTCCAGGACCCGAAGAACACAGAGCATCTGAACAAACTTGGGGAAATCACGCTCCCGCTTCAGCCTGCCCTTCTCTCATCGGTAAAGGGGGGAGTAACGTTACATTTATTTAAGTAACATTTCTATAGGTCTTATTTCCGGCCAGTTGTGGTTATAAGCACTCTACAGACATTAACTTGGTTAATTCTGCAGGCGACCCCCTGAGGTAGGTCATACTATTATCGGCATTTTGCTGGTGGGGAAGGGAAGCCGCGGGAGGGTGAAGCAGCTTGCTCAGGGCCGCAAGCTAGTGCCTGGTAGGGCCGGAATTCAAATCCGAGCAGGCTGGCTCCATCTTCTGGCTTTAAGCTCTCGCTCTGCCGCCTCCAGTGCAAGATCTCTACGTTCCCTCTTAGCCCTCCCATCTGGCGAGGGTAATTTTATGAGCTGAGATTTCAGCCCATACGGGGAACTCTTGCTCTAATCCATTACACCAAACTGCACGCTCTGATCTGATCACCCGGCCTTCCCTTGAGGCAGTGTTGGCGTCGGAAATGTCCACTGTGTGAGTTGGCCGGGATGCTGACTTACACAGAAGTGAGAACTCAGGGCCTCTGTGTACACTGATATCACCAGTGATTTCTACTTTTAAGCTAGGAGACTGTAGGTGCTGATGTAGGTGAGGTGCCTGGCCCTGGGACCCCCTCTCCTTTCTCATGAGCTCCCCTGCTCCCCTGTTGGTTCCACTCACCTCTGCTGGGATGACCCCAAACTGTGTCGTTAGCGCTCACTCCCCACAAGGTTAAGTTAGATTAAGGAGGAACCACAAGCACACCTCCTCTCCTGCTGCCCGCTGGCCCTCTCTCCTCCCCCGAAAGCTGGAACACGCTCACAGCGCCCCACAAAGAAGTAGAGCCCCCTGCACATAAGTCTGCAACCCACACTGAGGCCGGACCTGCCGGGGGTTCTTTTCCAGCCCCTACTTCAATTCATCTCTCGAGGGGCCCACGGGAAGCTCCACCCCTCCTCTGGGGACCTCTGAAGACAGTTCTTGGGGGTCTAAGGTTCCTTTTTCTCTTTTTGCAGACAAAAGTACATCTTATTCCTGAACCGTAGCTGCAGACTTGAATTTCCTTTGTACTGCTGGCCTCTTTCACCCGCAGCTCTGACACAGCTGAACCTCAGCCTCACCTCCTGTCAGGTCGACTCAGGTCCATGTGGTCAACGGCCCCTCCGTCCTTGAGGTCTGGGATGCTTTGCCCGTGCGGTCCTGGATGTCTGTGATCATGGTCCCTGACGTTCCTCTTCTGAAGTGACCCTGTGTTTCTCTCTCACTCTCTGTCCCCTTGTCCTCTTTCCCGTGTTTTCCATGGAAAAACGAAGCCACTGTAGCCTCTTCCCAGTTACAGGAATAATCTCTCTGTAAACAGCTTCACTAGTTAAGAGCTCTCATCAAAGCCCTTTTCTTTTCTTGTTCCTCAATAGCTTCTGTCTTTGTTTTTTTTTCTTAAACACATTATATTTTCGGAGAAGTTTTTGGTTCACAGCGATCTTGAGAGGTGGGCACAGAGGCTGCTCACATAATCCTCCTGCCTCCACGCAGGCACAGCCTCCACCATCATCAGCATCCCCCGCCAGAGTGGTCCATTTGTGACAACCAAGGGGCCTCTGTCGACCATCATGATCACATCAAGTCCACAGTTTACAACAGGCTCCATTCTTGGAGTTATACATTCCATGGCTTTGGACAAATGTATGATGACACATATACACCGTCACAGTATTAATCGGAATAGTTTCGCTGCCATAAAAATCCTCTGTGTTCTACCTCTTCTTCTCCCCACCCGCCTTCTACCCCGACTTGTGACAACGCCTGATCTTTCTTTCTGTCTCCACAGTTTTGCCTTTTCTAGAATGTCATATAGTTGGAATCATACAGTAGGTAGTCTTTTCATATTGGTTTCTTTCACTGGTAATATGCGTTTAAGTTTCCTTCATGTATTTTCATGGCTTGATAGATTATATCTCTTTAGTGTTGAAGAATATTTCATTGTGTGAATGCACCACAGTTTATTTCTCCACTCACTTACTGCAGGACATCTTGGTTGCTTCCAAGTTTTTGCAATTATGAGTAAAGCTGCTATAAACATCTGTGTGCTTCTGCCTTTCTTGTTTTGCTTTGAAAGTTTTTCTCATTTCCAAGATAAATTAAAAAAAAATTTAATATCCTGATTTTCTTCTATTTGCTTCTATTTTATAATCCATGTGAAATTATTTTAGTGTTAGGATATATATTAATGTTTCTCTTCAGCTGTCTTTCGAGTTATTTTGACGGCAAGAGTTACATTTTGCACTTCTTTGAAATTTACCTAAGATGTACCAAAATGCTTGGCATGTACATAGCACTAAATACTTATTAGCTGTAATGATACGTATTTGCTTTAATAAGTATCAAGCAGAACCACTAACATGTAAAGGCTGCTAATATAGTAGTAATAACTACCATTTGTCGAGCAGTTGTTATGTGCTAGGTAGATTCTATAAACTCTACCCATTTTAAATCCAACAACCTGGCAAAGTATGTATTATTGTCTCTATTTTATACATAAGAGAACTGATGATCTTGAGATCACACATCTTAAAAGTAGCAAAGCTGGGGCTGGAACACAAGTTGATGTATCTTCAAAACACCAAGATTTTCCAACACCTATTGCTGTCAATAATAGTGGAGAGAGGAGGTGAGTGATGTATGGACATACAGAGTAACCTCTTTCTGGTCCACTAACTGGAATTTATAGTCCTAAGGATTCAGTCTTAACATCAAATATTTTATTGAATTGGATTTAAACCCCTTTACCATCTACTGAGCCCAATGAGGTAATACTTAGCAAATGCTACATGTTGGCTTTTGGCCCAGTGCAGGGGATACGAGCACTTCGCAGTGATAATTTTCTCCTAATTGGTTGTAACTAATGCACTGCCATCCTGGAATTTGTCACTTACCTAAATGTACTTTCGCACATGGACCATGGTCTCCACATAAATGCACACTTACACACACTAGAAACAGCTTGGTGAGAGGCAGGTGGGATGAAGAAGGATGTGCCTGAGTGGGCAGTAGGTGACCTGGTGGACCGCCACCTTCTACGAAATCTCTTTTGGATGAGGGAGGATGGCTGGAAGAACAGGAATTGGGACTCGAGAGGCCAATGGAGAGGCAAGGCTGAGCCAACGTCACTGTGTCTCCTGGGCTGGTCTTCCTTCTTCAGAGGCTTATTTTCTCATAAGTAAAATGGAGAAGCTTGGTTAGATCTGCCACGTCAAGCTGTGCTCTGTGGAGGTTACTTGGGGTCATCGTAAGTAAGAAATGAGAGCCAGAGGGATCTGAGTGCTCTGCTCCCACTCAGGCCCATAGCTCTCTGCTTTGCCCATCTTACGGTTTCTATGGCGAACAACATGCAAACCACTGAAAGTGAGCCTGCCCCAGAATGGCTCCAGGGAGGACGTTCTGAGAGCTTACCGCTTCTCTCCCATCTCCAAGAGCCCCCAGTGCATGTGCTCTGATGAAGGTTGGCATGACGAGCACAGAGGACGCTGCCTGTGTGGCTTCCCAGGAACTCCCACTGGCCAGCGCACAACAGAAGGTAGGGAGGGTGGCAAAAAAGAGAAGCAGGTGGAAGTAACCTGGGTTAGTCTCGGCCCCCATGGGAGGAGGTAGACAAATGCTCACCAATAGCCATCCAGTCCCCTGTGAAAGGAGCTAATGTAGTAGAGGGTGGTCAGGGCATCTGTGTCCCCATGAGGAGCTCCCAGGGCTGGCAGGAGCTGAGGACATATGGAGTGCCCACCCACCTGCCCAGCTGACCCGCTTCAGGCAGTGCCAACTGCAGCCAGGGGCAGCTGTCCTGGGCCAGGGGGACATCTGAGTCCTGGAAGGGCATACCAGGAGCCTCAAAGGGAAGGCATACGAGACAGATCCAGGAATTGAGGTGACATGAAACTTTCAGAGGGAGAGGCACCTTTAGCTTTCTTTTTGTTAAAATATCAATGAATTCATCTCTCTGCGTATCTAAGTCTCCCCCTTCTTTCTCTGTCTCTGTCTCGCTTTCTCTCTGTCTCTCATCTATATTCTGTTGAGCTGTGATCTTCAGTACTCCAGGGATCTTAAAGTTTCCACATCAGCTGTAGTAAAATTGCATAAGATGTCTTGATGGTAGTGTGAATTCTCAGTGCCTTGGGGCCAGGCTGAAACCCACAAGCTTGAAAGATCTGGACTTTGTAGGAGAAGCAGAATTGGAGGGAGAGAGAGAGAGAGAGAGAGAGAGAGAGAGAGAGAGAGAGAGAGAGGAAACAAATGAATTCAGGAAGATCCACAAGGAGCCTCATTTCTGTCTTTCTCGAGCTGGTGGGAAATTAGCAAATGACTTAACCTGTCTGAGTGTCATGTTCCACATCTGTTAAAAGAGGATTTAGATTAACTTTAGATTGCTAAAGCTAATAGTAATATCTACCTTCCAAATTTATTTTGAGAATTATTAGGAAAGAGTTTGAGTAGTCTAATATTTCCAAAATGAGCTCCGTAGATGGCAGCTGTAATTGTACACAGGTTAACACCAGCTCTGATGGCTGTCTTTGTCTGTGTGGCCCTGTGACCATGATCGTATTGTGTTCTATTCCTTCTAGGCAGACGGAACCCACCATGCACATGTGGTATTGTGTCAGCATGTCGCTTTCTTGGGCCTGTTGAAAAGGTCAAAGAATACAAATTTGGAGAAAAAGTTAAAAGATTTAGTTAAGTCTGAAAAAGCAGTTGTCTACTTTCCAATTCTTATCTTTCCTCATTGCCTTTTCCACCAAAATTCCAGCCTTTCCAGGAAACCTTTCCAAATCAATCAGAAGTCAGAAGTGTGCGCTGGCATCCCCAAAATGTGAGCTCCAGAACCATCATTCATTTCTTGCCTGGTTTGGGACATCACTTCTGGTCTGGACCGGCCACTTTCCTGTTCTGGAAATCCAGCCTATTGGACTTCATGGTTCTGAAGTCCATTCAACCCGGGTAAGTTCTGCGATTCTCTCCCTCTTCATCCTGCGATCACAGTTTCTACACTCAAATTCAGAGACCTGGTCTGATAACTCCAAAACTTATGATGGAGAAATTAAAAGAATATTTTAATTTTAAAATATTGAATATTTTAATATTTGAAATTGAAATGGTTTGTGGTTGGCCCCTTCTCAGAATCTTTCTGATGAAATTTGATTATGTAGATCCAGCATTTTATCAAAATTGAGGAATATTTTCTATTTTATTTTTTTAGTTGGAAGCCCTTTGGCTCTAAGCATCAGAGGAAATGAAGAAGGGACGTGAAGCTGTTACCAGGATGGACTGCATGAAATCTCATTAACTGAGAACACAAGGGACCAGACAAAACAGATTTTGAATTAATTAGTTTGCAGTATGTGAAAGCATTGCTGAGAAATATAGGACATTTTATTGGCTAAGAAATTCCCATTCATTATATTACTCGATGCAATGTTAAGTCAAATGATAAATGGGAATGATGTTTCTTTATTTTTGGGCAAATGATAGGTGGTTTGGGAAATACTGTATTCGGTTCTCAGCTATCTGGATGAAATTTATCAGATTCTTGCTTATTGTCATAATTTTAGGTTGTATCCTGTCAGCTCTCAAGTTCTGTTCTTTAATAAATTTTTTCCTTTCCATGTGAATCCCGAGTGATCTAATGGATAACCAGACATCCCATGTTTTGTTTTATTTATTTTTTAAAATATTTATTTATTTAGGCTGCGCCAGGTCTTAGTTGCGGCACGCGGGGTCTAGTTCCCTGACCAAGGATCGAACCCGGACCCCCTGCGTTGGGGAGTGCAGAGTCTTACCCACTGGACCATGGGGGAAGTTCCCCCATGTTCTGTTTTAAATGTATTGATTCCTAAAGATTCAATACTAGTTTTTCACTTTAAGATCTTTCTTTTTTCTTCAAACGTGGCTCGTGGTCATCAGAGAGAAGCTTGGCTTCTTCACCTTGTGTTTGGAGGCACTTAAGCTTTTCCATTTCCAGCTCCGAGGTTCCCGGACACTGGGCTGCCTCTGGCTGTGCTCTGGCCGCCTCAGCAGCGCGACTCACAGTGCGTTTTGGTTGCTGTCTCCTGACTCACAGCGTGTGTGGTGAGGTCTATGAGGAATTTTCACGTCTGTGCTTATTAACCTTTCCTCCTTGTGTTAGAGTCGGCTTAACCCAGGGCCTTGAGAAGATTAGGCTGTCATGAAATACTCCACGTAACAGGGAGGAAAGAGTAGCCCAGCTGAGCATGGAGCAATGGGGCTGAGCGAACGGGAAGAGTGTGATGGGGATGCTTGGGGTGAGCTGATGCGTGTCCCCCGCAACTTCTGTAAAGTCCTCTCCCATCCTCTTGGTCGGAGCTTCCTCTCTTCCCTGCTCACCCTCCTTCTCCTGGCTAAGCCTCCACGTGGTCTGGGACTCAGCTGAGGCCTGGCTCAGGCTGCCCCCCTGCTCTGCCCAGCACGGGGCTTGGCTTGCCGGCCGGATGTTTGTCTGTCTCCCCACGTGAACCCCTGCTTCCCAGTTCCACAGCCCCTAGCCCCAGCTCCAGGCTTGGTGGAGCCGAGGCGCTTGAAAAGCACCTGCCAGGAGCTTCCCTGGTGGCGCAGTGGTTGAGAGTCCGCCTGCCGATGCAGGGGACACGGGTTCGTGCCCCGGTCTGGGAAGATCCCACATGCCGCGGAGCGGCTGGGCCCGTGAGCCATGGCCGCTGAGCCTGCGTGTCTGGAGCCTGTGCTCCGCAACAGGAGAGGCCACAACAGCGAGAGGCCCGCGTACCGCAAAAAAAAAAAAAAAGCACCTGCCGAATCTCACCTATGACCAGATGGGTAGAGAGGGACATGGTGCTATCTCAGCAAGGAGGTGTGTAGACACACACTCCCTTCTCTCCTTGACGGGGCCTGACTGCGTTCGCCCCTCTCTTCACATGTTTCTTCCGGTCACGTGCCCCACACCTGGCTGTCTCTCCAAACGTGGACGAAGCCCCGAGAGGAGAAGCTGGGCCTCAGTCACCAGGACAAGCTGTCTGCAGAGCACGTGAAGCTGGCTCTGGGGACCCGCCTGCCCCAGGGGCCTGGCCTCCGGGCCCGGCCGGCTCTCTGGGCTGCCCCTGATCTTCTCTCCTCTGCCCATCTTTCTAGAATGAGAAGGAAGGAGGGAGAATGGAAGGTGGTTGAACTTTTTTTTTTTTTTTTAAGATGTTGGGGGTAGGAGTTTAGTAATTAATTTATTTATTTTTGCTGTGTTGGGTCTTCGTTTCTGCGTGAGGGCTTCCTCCAGTTGTGGCGAGCGGGCGCCACTCTTCATCGCGGTGCACGGGCCTCTCACTGTTGTGGCCCCTCCCGTCGCGGAGCACAGGCTCCGGACGCGGAGGCTCAGCGGCCATGGCTCACGGGCCCAGTTGCTCTGCGGTATGTGGGATCTTCCCGGACCGGCGCGCGAACCCGTGTCCCCTGCATCGGCAGGCGGATTCTCAACCACTGTGCCACCAGGGAAGCCCTGAGCTCCTTTCTTTAAAAAACAATAACCCATGGATTGGAGAAATCTGAATAAGTTAGTAGGGTCAGGGCGAAGGAACCAAGGGAAGGAACAAGATGGGAGACGTAGGGAAGAGCAGAGCTGAAGCAGAGTCCTGAAAGTGGTGGAGACATGGTGGGATTGTTATAATGAATGGGGGAGGGACTTGGCTGGACAAGGAAAACAGCTACTGTGTTCCGTTGTGTCAGGAGAGACGGGACAAAAAAAATCATTCAGAGAAAATTTGTGTCAGGGCTTATGTTTCTTTATCTTATTTTAAAATCCAGACCAGTTTATCATTTTATCAATTTCTCACTCACTCTCTTTTGAACACTTAAAGTTATTTAAATTTTTGATTATTTCCTTGCTTTGGGTTAGTGGCTCTCAACAACAGGTCACATGACCTGCCCTAGGACACCCTCTCACTGCCTTACCCTGGGCTGGAGAGGGAGGGGTTTCTCCCTCTAAATCTTCAGTGGGTGCTGCGTGACCCAGTGGATTCAGAAATGGGAAAACTGATTGGCATCTTAGCCTGAATGAGCAGGATGTTTGATGTTGTTGCTAAAGAATACTGTACATTTAAATGCAAATTACCTATGATTTTTCACAGCCTAGAAATAATGTCTTCTGAAAGCAGAGAAAGAAAATCTATTAAGCTTTCTGAAAGGTATTGATTAGATGGGCACATGCTTCAGCCCTCCCGGGGGGCAGGGTCAGGAAGGGCACTGATACCTTCTGGAACCTGCAGAGCAGGGGTCTAGTTTGGACGATGTCATCACTATATATTGTGCCTCACTTTCCCTCCTTTGTCAAGGAAGAGATGTACGTTCCGGGTGGGCTTGAATGGACAATGCTGTTTGCATGTCATTAACTGGATCATCTTAAGCCTCCTTACAGGCTCGAATTTAGTCTGTGTGGAACAAATAAATAATCCTGAAATTTTCCAGAGCCCATGGCTGCTGGATGGACAGGGACCCTCCCTCTGTGACACTGAGACATCCTGTGCTCTTCGTCACCAATCCTCCGCCTCCTCCGTGTCATTCTCGTCCCTGGCATCTTCAGCTCCATCAGCCTGTGACTGCAGCCACAACTCCCTGGAGTGGCCCCAATTGCTGAGCAAACCACTCCAGCTACTAGAAGACCGTGTCCCTCTCACCTGCTCGCCTCACACTGTCAATACCTGTTGCCATGGAGCTGTCTGAAGGAGCCTTATTGCTGTCTTAGTATCAAGTCCTCGTGGAAAGAAGTCCAACATTTGTGCAGATGTGCCAGTAGCCAGAAGTGCACAAGCCACCAGTAGGAGGGTGTGCCAGGGAGGTGCTGGAACTGGCCCAAAAGAATGACCACCGTCCCAATCCAGCACCAATCTTGGTTAACTGAGACTCTAATTAGTTTTTGCTGTGTCTAGACTCACAAAGTTTCTAGCAAAGACCTCTGTCTTTCCCTGGCTCTACCTCTGGCCACACTGGGGATCAGATATGCTCTGCCATATCTCTCAGCTACATCGTCTTCACTCCCAGCTCTCAGTTCAACCAAGACTCCTCTCTCTCTTTCCCATTACTACACAAATTCTCCCCTCTGCATCAGTGCCTGACAGCAGTCCCCGGTGGTGTTGCACTGTCTATACTAGCAGCATCCTGGAGGCTCTGAAGGCCTCTGCTGTACAAAGTCCTCTGGGCTCCTTGAATATGAACAAGTTGTTTTCTGAGCAAACAATCAGGAAACCGGGGCAAACAAGTTTACTGGTGGGACAAAGGGACAGACCATTTGTAATTAGGAGTCTCCAGAGGAATCCTGAAATCTGGGCTGATGCAGCTGAAAACTATGCCCTCGGGAGGGAAATGGGTTAAAGCACGTTCGGAAAACAGGCTAAGCTTGGTCACAGGAAGCCCTCCGACTATGCCAATGACGTGGACAAAATGCAAGCATCCCACTACATGCCAGACGCTGTAGGAGGGGCTCGCGTATGTTACCTGATCTTCATAAAACCACAACCCAGGCAGGATCATCTTCACGTGGAGATGATAACATTGCATCTCCCCGACGTGACTTGCCCAAACACACACAGCCAGCAAAGGGTGCCGACATAGCTCTAACCCAGTTGAGACAGGTTATGAAGCCAGATCTTGTCACACCGCCATGTGCCAGGGACACATCCAGTCATCCTGATCCCTTTTCTGGTCCAGGTCACCCCTTCCAAGGACCACATGGTCTGTATCCCATAAGAAGCAGATTCTGATATATCAGCCCTCTTCATAGGAAGACTGCTGATGCTGTTGCCTTTGTAACTTGGGATCTCATCTTGAGTCTCATTTCCAGATTTCCCTGACTTTGGGCTTGTGCTTTACCCTCTTCCTCAACCCTCTTACTCTTATACGAGAGGACACGTTTGTTTTCTTTGATCTGACGTTCCCTGATCCACCTCCATGAAGTTCTGAGCTCACCCTGGAGGCCTCTGGCTCCGACTGACCCAGCTCAGTCCTGGGACCTAACCTGTCATGGGACATCTTGACCCTCCGCCCCGTCTGCTTTCTCTGCCATCCTGCAACGTCAGGTGGCAGTCAAGCGTGAGGTAGGATTCCTCCAAGGGGCACTTAGAAGAGGGAGAAAGTGGGCACAGAGCAGCTAGAGCTGTGCTCGGAGACCCTGAGGTGATGCGCTTGGCCACGGAGTGAGAGGAGAGGAGGTCTGTCACACAGTGCGTCCCCGGCAGCCATCAAAGGGGAGCTCTACCCCTACTGGGACAGAGCCTGAGGCATCTGGGCTGCAGATATGCCTTTATTGACTGCTTGACCCACTGTTCTACATGGCCACCCACCGTCCTAGTCAGAGGCCTGTGGTATCTTGACCGGCCCTCGTGGGCTGACTGTCCTGGCCTAGCCTGTGACGTTATGAATGGCTCACGTCGAATCTGACCTCTTAAATGCTTCCAGCTTTTGTGATTTGCCTAATGGAAGCAGAGAAGACCAGCTATTTCAGAATATGCCAATAAAATTGCTCACGAATTGAAAGAACCACTGGACCTTTATGATTTATATCAACACACAATGCTGTTTGTCAAAGGTGCTTGGAGGTTCTCCTCTTGAAATTTCAGGCTGTAAATAAGACAAGCATATTTGCCTGGAGAGTACCTGCCTCCATACACCCATTTTGATAATT